CCTTGTCGGAGGGGTGTCGCCGTGCTTAATGAGGTCGCCGCTTTATCCGTCCTGTCGCGGTTCTGTTCTCGATTTGGGGGATAGTAGCCAAGGGCCTCCTGCGATGTTTGACTCGATAGACTTCTCGGAGGACCTTTCGACAGACTCGTGGGCTCGATTTCTAGTAGCCAGAGGGTCGTTCGTGACTACTAAGAAATTATTTGCGTAGCCGACCTCACGCCCTGATGGCTATCTATCGCTTGTCTTATGGTAGGGCTTGTTGGTCCCGCGGCTGGCCGGCCTGAGAGGCCTACGCATCTCGGTGCGTTCAAAAGTAGTCTGAGCGTGTCAGTATATATTGATTCGTGCCATGGGGCACGCTTCAACTGAAGTTACACCATTCTGGACGATATTACAGCTCCTCGCCACCGAGACACATAGTCGAACGGTAGACGCAGCCCAGGATGGCTTAGTATAATCGAGTCTTCCCAAAAGGAGGGCGGTTTTATACACGGAATCGAGTCTGACCTTGGGCATGCAACACCAGGTACTCGATCATCGATATTGAAAGGGATGTCTGTTAGGTTCCCCCAGCTGAGATGGAGCACTGGCAGCGAGTGACCTTGACATGGCCAGCCATATTTGATGGATATAGTGGTAAGTAAGACTTACCAAATTAGACACACTGCCGTTGCCAATGCTCGTTGCATCCAGGACCGTAGCACACTAGTATGATAACGGGATAAGGGCGAGTTCCGAGCAGATGATGCCATAGAATCTCCTTTGACAGCTGTTCGCGAACTGGCTACAACCGCAGTCATGGTTAGCTTCTCGAAATTGTTTTAAAGATAGGTCGGAAGCAGCTAGTGCATACTCCACGAGAACAGTACTGGGCCTGGCTGACGTCTGGATTATCCTCTGTGTCCGGAACGCAAGTTGGCTGAAAGGTAAGAAGTGAAGGAAGTTTGGCGAGGAAAGCAAGAGGAACACAAAAACGCCTAACTACCGTATTTTCTGCGGCACAAGAGGCGGTGAGAGATGCCTTGAACGTCTTCTGAGCTGCAGAATATAGCGCCAGAGGGCGTTCATGGACGGCTGTGGCTGGTTCCTCTGCTGGCTGTCCCACGTCACTGGCGACCATTCCTTCGAATGAGCCTTCCTTAAATTACGCGAGACCTTTCCGGCCGGCTAGACATGTGGACTCAGCAGCTTGTGTGTTTGTGGAACTACGTCAAGATAGTGATCTGAAGGCGCCACACTGTTGAGGGAGGGTGTGAACATGGCGGTATTGCTGGTGCTGGCGCGGTTGGCGATGAGGAAGCCTACCTCCTTCTTTGCCATGCCGTGGTGTACCTCTCGACCGCGAATCGCTAGCCACTCGCAGTACGGCCATGATAAAGCAAGGAACCAAGTCATGCATACCACCGACATCCACTGTGTCATCAGGGGCAGACTTTTTACACTTCCTGTACCTGTGCCTTCAGAACCGCCACGGCCCTCCGTTGGTACCGCCGGTAATCTCACCGGTTCGGCTCTGATGTAACCCTGAAAGTGTTTTCAGGGGATTGTCATAGCCGGCTGGTCAAAAATCGGCCAAGCCGTTGTGGGTGCCGTGGCAACCAGCTTCCTTCGCTTGCTTCCACGCATCTCCCGTCCCCCTGGTTCCCCTTTCTTCCTTTGAGCCTGCTATATAATTAAGTGTAGTCCTACCCGAAACCACGACTCTTGGAATTATTCCAGGGGTTTTGTCCATATTATCAGCCCAAAGCTGCTCATAAACGGCTTTGATATGTCTGACCAGCCCCTGGACCTAGGAAAAACATCGGTTCCCAAAGATCCTACGAGGAACCCACGTGCTCTAAATTTCTCGTTTTCGCTTGGGGTCCGATCAGAACGATGATATGGAAACTTTGCAGCCCCAAAGACATACATACTGTGTTGGCTGCCATCCCTAAGCCACGCGCAGATTTGACAAGGTGAAGATGAGGGTGTCATTCGTCCGCGACTTACCTTGCTCGCCGAGCAGCGCGCCACATACAATCGAGATAAATGAAGATACTCGAATTCTGCCTCTTGCTCCGCTCTGTCAACGCTGACCGAGTTGGTTAGTTAAGGATAGCACCTAGGTCTGAGACGCTTAATAGAAATCCTTCAGCAGCAAATCGGCAATGCAGCACCTCAAGAGCTGCCACGTAGCTCTCATAGTCATGAGATAATGGAGAGTGGATCTGTGCTGGTTCTGGACTTCCACCTGTAGTCTTTAGTTGACAGTTCTGAAACGCCTAACTCCTGGTTGCCTTGTGCCAGAATAAGGCTGCGGGGGACAAAATGACAAGCAACCAATCCTATCAATATTGTCGACTCGATAAGAGTCGAATTTTATCAGCATTTCATTGCATGACTGCCGGCGGCTACAGTCAAGCATGTGCTTCTTTTCTGGGACTGACATGGCTCCCGTTGTTGTTAAAGTTCTGTGAACTCCCCAACTACTTACTTCCTGACAACTTTCTCGCTTCGACACTCAACGATACTGGTATCGGTTGAACGGAACGCCAACATCAAAAATCAGCTTCCAGCGTTCAGGAAACCTGAATCACAACATAGATTTCCCGAAATGCCGGAACAGAATATGATGGCGCCTGCGGTGGCCACTGACAGCCATCAGTACGTCACCCACACACGAAACGAGGTGTGGTAGGTAGGACGCGCTTGGCCCCCAAGTTCCCTACCTAGGGTACCAGCACATGAACCCACAATACAAGTACATGAGCTCCCCGCTTACGTTCTGTCAGGCTTGAACCGGGTTCCAATCATCCTTGCTCACTGTTGGACCTGAACCGTATCGAAATCGAATGCAAGATCATCCGAGCTGAAGCCACACGGAAGGAGTTGGTTGGGCATGATTCAACCGGGTCGATCTACGCTTCCATCTGGACTCAAGATGTATATGCCACGCAATTCGAGGATAATATCCATCCCAGAAGCTCCGTAGATGCTCAGGCTGGATCATCGAGGTATACGCCCTGAAATCGCAGTACGTAGAAGCTGACTGACAGAAACAAGCTCTCCCGAACACGTCCCAATTCATGATAACAATCAAGAACAAAGCCTTCTTCAACAACAAGAACAAGTAAGGTCAGATAACATCTACTTGCCTGAACTGTTTAAAGCTAAATGGGTCCTGCAGGCTGCATGGCGACAGAGTCTTCTGACTGACCCCCCTCAACAAGACCATTCGGAGAACACCCAACGTCACACCCACGTGAACTTCAGCGGCCTAAACTCCCCTACCCTGCTGGCTGCCGGAACACACGAGACTTCCATTACGTTCGACTTAGCTCTACCTTCGAACAATACCAGAACCTCGATTGGATATCCGAGGATCATTGACGAGGGCCTGAAAACGTTGCTATCAGGCAGCTAGTAGCTCAAAGGCTCGCCTCCTGGTAAAGGAAATACATTGCACTAGATAGACTCGTCAATCGATGTGCTCAATACAATACAACAGAGTTGCATCACATACATAAGAGATGGACATGGCTGGGGTTAAAGCAGGGGAAGATGACATCTGGATAAGACCGGTGTCAAATTGGACGAGGAAGGACCGTCATGCCTTATTGGGCTATGGTGAGTCTGGATTCCTAGTTGGCGGCAAGCTACTGACCTTGGGCTGCTGATTTCTGCCGCCCAGCATTGTGAATGGCTTTGTTTGAGGGAACATGGTCGATATAATTGTCGATATAATGGTGGCTTGGAGCATCTGTGGTCACGGCTTTCATCCGGTTATTGTGGGAGTATATAAGGGTAGCCAACCGTCTCAAGAGAGGCGGTCGCCTTTTCCACATTTATCAGGTTAGACAAAATGTAGTTGGACACCTGAGTTTGCGATGTTATATAATATCTAGTAGCGCACGATATATAGGTCCTCTGCATTTTGAGCCACTGCACGGATTAATCTTGGTAGGTTTTGGCAGACTAACCAGGGGAAAGGGGTGATGGGGTTTTCATTTTTTTTCTTCATTTATAACTCAATATCATGATCAAAGACAAATATGCGGTGGCCAACTTCGCCTTGCGTATTTTCAGGCGTGGAGATAGCCATGAGGGTGGTCTGGCTTGCTTTGCCTCCCCCCCCCCCAGACATGGTGAGCCTCACGATCTGCGAGTCGGACTAACGTGGTTCTGAAGAATATCAACGGGTGGTAAATGTCACAAAGGTATGTCTCTAACGCATCGTCCTAGTGAATATATACAAACCGCTAGCGCCCTAGAAATCATCGAAAGCACAAGTATCAAAGCCTCCTGACCTTAGCTGGTCAGTAGCAAGTGTGTAATTTCTAGCTCTATGTCTATGGGAAGATCACGGAACATAGAAAAGGCTATGATGAACTTTGGCCGGATGCCGGAGGAGGGCAGATTGTCAGAGATAGAAGCAGGTTGATCCCTGCAGCAAGCGTGTAATTCCATTGGTCAACTCCAGCTTATAACACTATGACACGATATCATCCTCAGACTACCTATATCAGCATTCATCGGATTCGGAAACTCCTTGAGGTTATATCCGTCCTACAGAGCCCTGTTATTATATATGTTTCATAAGGATTCATCTAAGACGAGGCAATTATAGGGATATCCTAATCATCTGTAGATCGCCTGATTAAGGGTTTATATAGATCTTCAACATTTAGATTTGTCTGCTAGGAGCTACTTCTCTATCATATCAGGTTATATATATAAGCTGTTTCTCAAAGACTCTCCGCGTCGAAGACGCTGGGTTGGGCTTGTTACAGTGAGTGGTTGACTTCCGGGTCAGACAATGCGAAGTTTGAGATCAGAAGCTCGAAGTGGGGACTCACATGACATAACAGCCGCTACGATAACCAGACATTAGCAAAACTTACTCGGAAGCCCCAAATTTTGGCGCCCGTTGACCACTGGCTACACTGGCGTGGCTTCTTAACTTCGCCATAATAAACATCACAGGAACGGCATGATGGCACGAGGCAAAAAGAGTGTGGTCATGTCCCATGCAAGGATCGAACTTGCGACTTCTGCATTCCTTAGCATTTTCTACGCACGGAGGGTACGCAGATATAAGAGCAGCACGCTAACCACTGCGTTAATGGGACTTTGAACCACACAGCTGTATACGCGCGCGGAAACCACTGGTCAGCTTATATGGGACGATCTATCGGTGAGGCCTGTGACCAATCCTCTGACGGAAACATCATTGATGGATCTTGCGGACAGCAGGCTTGCATTTGAGTCTCACTAATCGAGGCTGTATAACTCTGAAATACTCGAAGTACTGGTACGCGAGCTGATTATGGCCCCCGGTAAGCTTCTCGGGTGTGATGTGATATACCTAGGTACGTGCAGTTCTCGACGCACCAACGGCTCAGCTTCTATCAAGCTCTCAGCCACGTCGGGTGAGTTCCATCCACATAGCGCCGTAAATATCGGCCTCTTCCCCGAAAACACGCAATTATCGGCTTAATATTATGTTGCCCTACTGCGGTGTGATGGCTGCCTTATTTTACGCATACACATATGCTAGAGCTGCCAATAGTCTCGTGCCCTCGACCTCTAGGGATTCACTCCGAGAGTAGGGCTTGCAGGTGGTGCCCAAAATGTTAGGCATTGTTTCCGAGCTAACCCTGTCTAATTAAAGGCTGAAGGGCGGTGGGCTACACGACCTGCGTATTATATAGCGAGACGGTAAAGGACCCCTACTTCTTCGCCCGGCTTGATACAGTGACGAACCACCAAAGACCAGATTTAGTAGTACCCTGGTTTGGGCGTTCAGTGAATAGGGATTAATCCTGTCAGCTTTGCGATAGACCTGATAGACCAATTTTATCCAGGCGCCAGGGCGCCCAATCTTTGTACATATGTACTACTGATGGCTATAGCATGTTTATAATGCAAGGCCATCAATGGACGGACTGCTTTTAAGACTGTAGCGTATTTCATCGAAGTTCCAATGAGTAAACTGGCTTCATTTGATTGGATGTTGAGTCTGGTGGCCTTGTTATGATCTAACTAGCTCAACGAAACGACGTGGTATACCTAGGTAACCGCATCGACGAAACGCGTCTTTGGCAGGGTATCTAAACAACTAGTTATGCAGTGAAAACACATATGCAGGACCGGCAATATTTCATCCGGGCCGGTGTAAAAGGCCACGGTGCACAATTACAAAACCACAGTGCTTCGAAATTGTGCCAGACGTCGTGCAACGCCCCCGTAATGTTAGATTGTATGACCTCATCCCGAGATGGAAGTTCGAATATCATCACGATTAATCACCAAATTCCATCTCCTCCGAGTCACTTGGTGCGTTTAGAGCCGACTTCAAGAGAAAATTCCTGAGCCTGTTCTTCCGCGTCCGCCACTCGGCCGGCGTCTCGATCTTTTGGTTCCTGATAGAAGGTGTTACCTGCCTTCCGTTCCAGAGGAGATAAGACGTGTCACCCAATGCTGACTCTTTCAGCACGATGCCCTGGCCGCGCCTTCCGTCACCAACACGCCACTTTATCGATTCCAAGTGAAGCGTCTCAAGGTGGTCCTCCAGTCCCTCGATGGATGCAAAGGCGCTAAACACACCAGTGCTGTCGTCCCGGCCACATTTCCCCCAGCTGCAGCATAGGGTCTCACGAGCCTCCTGGCCGTGCACGATGCCGACATGCTTTCGAAGGTTTGTTGTGTTGTTCAGTATGGCCTTACAGCCAGCCCATTCGCACATGAATTGGGGAAAGTGCGGCTGGACACGGTCGTAAAAGTCTCGGGGCGTGGGCGAAGGCGCTCTAAGTGGCGCATCTGGCTGTCGCTCGCGGACGCGTCGAATTCGGTAGTCAGGTCGTGCCTGCACTCGTCTTGTTCTCGGTCGATCTAATGGAGGCGTTAAGGAATTAGTCTCGTTCTTTGAGCCCTTAGGACGGCCGCGCTGACGGGGCTGAAAGTCCGACTCCGAAGTTTCCACCAATTTTTGAGGCTGGTCTTGGTTCGTCGAATCGGGTGGGATCATCTTGACATCAGCTGCATCGGGCTTGAGGGGTGCGGGTGTCGAGCCTTTTGTATGCCTGTCGAGCGTGTGGTCACACAAACCCTTGTCACTCTGATCACTTGGCGCAGATGAACCTCTCCCCCCGCCTGCGTCCTTTGACCCTTTGGTCTTGGCCATGTCATAGCTGGGGAAGCGCTCATTCCACTTTGCAAGAGCGTTGCTACCCCCTTCAACGGCGTCAGCAGCTGCTTGCATACTGATAGCTCCTTCCGGCAGAGGCAAACCCGTAGACATGAGCCAACGCTCAGTCTGGAATTGCCGCATGAAATCATCTGGTCGCCCCTCGTCTTCTGCCACACGACTAGCGCGATCGAAACCCTTCCAGCCACGACCGAGGCGATTGAGCTCCTGCGCGATGGCAAGGTCGCTGCAGCCAGTGAGCGTCGGCCCCTTACGGTGTCTCCTCTTGAACTTGCGGAGCTCTTTGTCTGTAAGTCGGAAGAAGAACCGGTGGTCTTTCTCTGGTTTGACGGGCTTAATAAGGACACTATTGATGGCTGGCTGGTTAGGCTTCGTGCCTGATGAAAGTTGGGCACCTTTGCTAAAGTGCAGATCGCGACTGGGCAGGCGTCCATCCTGCTGGCCTCGCTGCCTTGAGGACTCTGCCTTTGTATTCTGCGATTTCTTGGGAGCTGGCCGACTAGCTCCTGACACTTCTGAGGATGGCCCGTGGCTCAAGGGTGCATCTTGAAGACTGTCCCCCGCATGATGCTGAGTTTGTTTCAATATGCGTAGTCGAGACGGCGCCGGCTTCGGCGAGCTCTGACCTCCAGTTCCCTTACCAGTCGCGACACCATGTTTGAGCAGGTTCGTAGCATTGCGCCCGACTTTCAGCGACGATAAATCTGGTTGTATGGACTGCTCCTTTGGTGAAGCAGCCGGTGAGATCTGCCCAGGTCTCAGCGACGGCAAGGAGACCGTCTTGAAGGGCGACAAAGCCATGGTGCGCCGTCACACAAGGTCTAGGCATGTTTTGCACTAGCACTTGCGCCTTGGATTGTCGTGCTGTCACCTTATTTGCTGGACCGAATGAGAGCGGCTGGCCCCTTGCAGACGTCTGTGGTGTTCAGATGGACCGTAGACAGCCGCCGATCAAATGCCGAGGTTGAGTGAGGTTAAAGTCGGCTACGGCTAGGATTATGGTGACGGTCAGGGTCACGGTACCTAGGTAGTACCAAGGAGACGCGTTTGCACTGCAAGAGCGCGATTCTCGGCAGCCCGGCAATTCCCAGGGTTCGCACGGGCCTCTTTTGCTTATGGCGACAGGCGCTGCTGTAACACTTGTAGTGGGCTTATGCCCCTGAAACTAACACCCTCTTCCACAACTACAGAGGAGCCTTGACCTTGGAAGTATCAAAGGCACACAGGCCACGACTCCTCTCCCTGTATGCCTGAGCAGACCACTTCAGCATCGTCGGGCTGAGGGCTCATCAGAAATGAAGAATCGTTTACCACCTCAGTATGTACAACAGGTTGCTTCAGCTGACGAGTGCCCACCCCCAGCTCGAAAGTACCATGCAGTTGATCTTATCCGAGCTACCACCTATTACTATGATCTCCTGTTGTTGCCAGTTCAAGTCAAGTTTCGTTGCCTTGTTTCACTGTAGGAGTACGTTCAATAGGAGTTAATATACGACAGGACTTATCTCCGCAAAATCCAGACCAAGGATATATCGGTCGTCCGGCGGTAAGCTGTGATGATGACGGGTCAGAAACTCTTCGGCAAACAAGGACGGTCGAGCAAGCTGAATCTTGTTGCTCAGCCTCCCTAAATTGACGCGTCATGACGCCTACAACACAAGATGATACGTTATGTATGGAGTGGAGACCGGGGTGGTCAGCGACTGAGACCGGCCTTAGGTCTCTACTCGGTTTCCCCATGAGACCTACTCCGAGTAAATTGCCCGGTATGCCCGGGAACAGTAGTGATATTCATGTTTCGGAGGAAAGGGGCTTAGCGGAGTCAGACGCCTCGATGCCTAGATGTCTACGAACCTTCTCACTAATACACATCAGCTCCGCGCCAAAAACCAACATCGGTCAGGGTTGAGTTGGAGAGCCACAGCGGCAAGGAGCTTTTGTTCCAACTTCGTCCCAACTTGATCCCAAGAAAGACTAATCAAGTCTCTCACATGAAAGCCTCGTGTGTCTCGGGTAAGTTCCCAAGCATCCGCAATCACTGCGGCTTTCGCCTAAGTAAGTCATCACGACTCGAGACCATTCTCGGAGCCTCAGGTACTCGTTGGGGATTCGTCTCCCTGCGACCATTCCTGCCCCCCGGGATTCTTCCTCCCTCATCAAAAGGACCAGACTGACCTCAACTTCACGTGGCTATTGTCTTGCCCCGCTGATCCGAGGACGGTCCGAGACTCCGGCTTCAGACTCCGGCTGGCCAACCTTGCTCATGTCAGCACCTGCCGTTATCTCTGTCTACCTAGGTACTTCCAATGGTCAAGACAGTAAGGGCACGAAGAATCGCGATAGGAAGCGCATGCTAGTGTCATCAAGAGTGTTCCATCAACAACTAAAAATAATATGATTATCTCAATGTTGTATTGCATCCTCGCATATGCATGGGAACATGAATCCATAAGTAAGTAAGCAGCTGCACGAAGTCTGAATGGAACGCTTTTATAATGAGAAGCCAAGTGGCGCAAGTGAACTAAACATGCAACATCGTAAACCTCATCGCGCGTAAAGAGAACCTCCAAGTAGCCCCTAATCACAGACATGAGAGATCATCCTCCTCAGAACTGCTTATATCGCTTTCCGGAGGTGCAAACCTGGCTGAAATACTTCTGCCCATCAGCGTCCACGACGGCGAAGCTGGGCATCGCGAACCAGTCCTGGTAGGTAAACCAGAAGGTGTTCATCTTGCCGAAGTACGGGCAGGCCACCTGCTGGAAGTAGCTCGCAGCATTGGACACGCTCGGGACCGCGTTGCCGTTGGCGGCACCGTTGACCGGCCACCCCGTCTCCGTGACCCAGACGCTCGGCATGCGGCCGGAGCTGGAGCCCTCGAGCGCCTTGGAGACGGTGGCCTGGGCCTGCGTGATGGCGTTG